ATTGACTGCTGGTGTGATATAATAAAAAATAACTGGCCTGATTGTTTATTGACTGCTGGAGTGATATAATAAAAAATAACTGGCCTGATTGTTTATTGACTGCTGGAGTGATATAATAAAAAATAATTGGCCTGACTGTTTATTGACTGCTGGAGTGATATAATAAAAAATAACTGGCCTGACTGTTTATTGACTGCTGGAGTGATATAATAAAAAATAACTGGCCTGCCTGTTTATTGACTGCTGGAGTGATATAATAAAAAATAACTGGCCTGGTTATTGACTGCTGGAGTGATATAATAAAAAAATAATTGACCTGACTGTTTATTGACTGCTGGAGTGTTATAATAAAAAATAATTGGCCCCAAAACAACTGGTTTCTTCATTATCTATGGTGTTTTGAATCCATTTTACTTCACCATACAGTAACCTATATTAATTTAGGTACAATAATAATGTTATGACATTTCATCAAATTCAATATTCAATATTATACAGTAAACCAACTGTTTAATGATTGTATATGTTAAAGATTTCTTTTCACCAGAGGTGAAATTAAAATGAGAATCTGTATGTAAATGATGAAGACACCACAGATATTATATACACTTCACCAATAAATGAGCCTTCAACAGGTGAAACTACAGTTCACAGCAGCAGGTACAGCCAATGAAGAAATGCATAAGGCCTCTACATCACAGATTCTCCTTTTAATTACACCTCTGGTGAAAAAGAAATCTTTAACATATATATATACACACACACAATCATTAAACAATTTCTTCATTGTTGGAGTTACACTGTAGAGAATTACTAGTCTGAAAATAACCAGTGTTTATTTACTGTATAAACACAGACTTACCGCATTACTATACAGAGCCACAAACTTACCACATTACTATACAGAGCCAGACTTACTGCATTACTATACAGAGACACAGACTTACTGCATTACTATACAGAGCCACAGACTTACCACATTACTGTACAGAGCCACTGACTTACTGCAGTCTGTGTGTCTGTATAGTAATTACTGCATTACTATACAGACACACAGACTTACTGCATTACTATACAGAGCCACAGACTTACTGCATTACTATACAGAGCCACAGACTTACCACATTACTATACAGAACCACAGACTTACCGCATTACTATACAGACACACAGACTTACCACATTACTATACAGAGACACTGACTTACCACATTACTATACAGAACCACAGACTTACCGCATTACTATACAGAACCACAGACTTACTGCATTACTATACAGAGCCACAGACTTACCGCATTACTATACAGAGACACAGACTTACTGCATTACTACACAAACAGATTTGCTGTGTTACTGTATCTGCATATTATTACAGATCTTAAGATTTTGTATGTACTTGTGTTGAAAATGTTTTCCCTGTAAAAATTGTTTAGAAAGGAACAAGGGTTTTCTAGTGGTACCGTAAAAAACAATTAAAGGACATTTGTACTTATACACAGCTGTATAGTCTGACAAGTCTGTATGACTGGCATGTTCATATCCTACTCATCTACCCAAGAAAATATAAATTGTTTGGTAGGTAACTTTAGAGGATGTCTTAAAATATTTATTTCAAATCTGCTTGTTTTGATATTCAAATCATTCTTCTACAATCATTACCTCAGCTGCTCCTGTATTGTTTATATTAAAATTTCTCTGCTCATACTTTTTCAATACCAGTTTTAATCCAATGGATCTCACTTGAATTTCCAGTTCATATTTTCTGTAATGAAATAAAGCATTAAAAAGGCTAAATACAAAACAAAATCATTTGTTGTAAATGAAGTCTTACTGCTTAATTAATACGTGTGACAAGATTAATTCAAGAAAGACAAACATCAGTATAAAATGTAAAATATTAACAACAAAACAATGTTTACTAACATAATTTTCTCAATGTCTATATAAATATTAGCTGAGTGTAAAAATCAAATAACATAAAACTGAAACGGTTAAATCAAACCGTGGATGGTCGGTGGAGAGTTCTTGATCTACTAATTTCTGAACAGCAGTATTCCAAGGTAGAGGAGCTTGAGAAATGGTTGCCACAATAGCTGTCATTCTTTGGTCAGGATACTGCTGCATGCAGTTAATAACAGCAAGAACCTTTTCTTCCCACGGAGCTTCTTCCCAGTACCACCAAGTGTGGGGTGAGGTGTCTAACACTTCCTATACAAGTAGAAGACATTTAGTTAAATTAACAGTTTTTTAAAATCTTGAAGTTTCTTAATTTTCATAGAAAGCTACTCGAGGGTTATCTGCACTAGCCATCCCTAATTTTGAAGTATAGACTAGAGGGAAGACAGCTAGTCAACACCACCCACCACCAACCCATGGACTACTCTCATTGAATAGTGGGATTTATCTGTTACTCTAATAATGCAGCCAGGGCCCCAAAGTGAATTTGTTTTCTTTTTCTTTAGAGTAGCAGGGTGTAAACCAGGGATCCACAGATTTACCACTGGCCCTTTCATAAACTAGGAACAAAAATATAACAGAACGTTTACTCCATATTTATGACTTCAAACACAGTTCTAAAGCTTATATTGAGTTCTATAATGTTTGATAGAAATATCAGGATTATAATGAGCAACATAGGGGGCATTAGTATACTGAGGTGGTACATACAACAGCCAAGGAGTGCTTGCATCATTATTATATTGAGGTGAAACATAAAATAGTCCAGGGGGTACTTGCATCATTATTATACTGAGATAGCACACAACAACCCAGGGGGTTGTATGTGTGTATATATATATACATACACATCTCAAAGTTTTCCGGGTTACCACAACCACTGACCTGTATATAACTCAGTAATGTGTTTCCTTCATCTAACTCATTCCTCTTCATATAGTTACACAGAAAGTGCTCAAGAAGCCTTCTCATCACGTTGACGTCTCTCACCCAGTCCAGAATAAGAAACACTACGGCAACTTTGTCTTCCTACCAAGCATATCATAGAAAATACTAAAAATATCAAAAACATTTAAAATATTTCTTTACTTATCTCAATTATTAAAAACATACACATTTGAAGTGAAACCAATAAAAAAAACTTCTATATATTCATTTCAAATATTATTTCTTTAGATGTAAACACCTGACAAAATTCTGATAGTGAGAGATGACATCCATAATTCTTTTTCAGATCCATCAATTCTTTCAGGTTCGAAAGCAGCTCCAGAAGAGTTGCCAAAGAAGAACCACTTGTTGCTGCAATCCTCTATAAAGAAAGATTAGTAGAATAATATACAACTGTGTCATTATAAACTAGTTATTAAGGCTAATCAGTTTTAAAAAACTTTTTAAAACTTTCATTCTGTTATAATTTTTTCCTGTAAGTTGTGGAATAACAAAGTTTTATCTTGTTCAATTTTAACTCAAACTTAAAACATATCCTAAAGAACAAACAAGTCAAATATAATGCACTTTTTTTTACATAAACTTTTATTTGGGTGTATAACAATATGAATTAAAAATATATATAAATAAAACACAACAACAGGTCTGCAAAACCTAAGAAAAATTCCTGGACAAAACTGCGACTTCCAAAGACTTCCGGTGTTGAAAAATTTGCTTATAGAATTTCATGACTGGTCAAATGATACGTTCAGATCCACCACATCTCTGATTCACAAAATTAACAATAATCACTGAAATGAAGAATGAATCTTCAAGAAAAAGATATAACTTACCTGCCACAAATGAAGAGATATTTCAACAGATACAGTGGTTATTCCTGTCACAGACTGACCAGCCATAAGATCACAAACATTAGGAAGAACTTCTAAAAGCTCAATAGCTGAATCTGGCCAAGAATCCTGTTAACAAGAATGACAAAACAATGGACAAAATCTAAAATTAATAATCCTGTAAAAATATCAAATATTTAAATTATGTTTTAGAAAGTAAAAATTATATATATACACATTTTGATATTTATTGTTATACACATCTAGAATTAACGATCTTGTATCTTAATTTCAATTTAGCATTAATGATGTCTGAAATGTATTTTTTACAACTATACTATATCAAACTTTAGTATTTCAGGAGACAGATAACAGCATTGCTACAATATGTAGAATTATACATGGACTTTTCTCTATGTTAAAATATTTTTATTTGTGAGCTTTCAGCCCTCTTATTGGAGCCTTCATTGGTACACTGTTGCCAGATGAAGGCTCCGGTAAGAAAGTTCAGAAATAAAAGTATTTTAACATAGAGGAAAGTCCATGTATGATTCTACATATAAATTTATCTATGTCATGGATCATAAAAACCAATATTGCTACACGTTAATTTCTCAACCAGCAACAGAAGGATATTTTAAACACCATTAACAAAAAATAAAATTAATATGAATTTCAAACACTAAAGGCTAGGTCAAAGTTATTTTCACCTAGGATTATCAGTGAAATGTCAACAAATCAGCCTATATTATAACCCAGAATAGTGGAAAGACACAGAGGGTTAAGTATATCATGCTAACATAATTTTAAATATACAATAGAGCTAGCCACATAACAATCACAGCCCAAAATAAAGTTATGGTAGAGTGGCATGTATAAGAACTACATTTTGATAGTGTTTGGCATTTAATAAGTAGCATGATGCCTAGGAAACTGACTGCTTTTGTTAAGGGTATCTAACAGCCTTTTCTGATACAAAATATCATACACTCAGATTATAAAGATGTTAAGATTGGAATGTTTGTTTTGAATTTCATGCAAAGCTACACAAGGGCCATCGGTACTAGCCATCCTAAATTTACCAATGAAAGACTAGAGGGAAGGCAGCTAATCATCACCATCAATCACGACCTCTTGGGCAACTTTTTTACCAATGAACAGTGGGATTGACTGTCACATTATAATGCCTCCACGGCTGAAAGGGCAAGCATGTTCTAACCCGCAGATTGTGAGTTGAACACCCTAACCACTGGCCATGCCAGACCTGTTAAGACTGAAAGTGGGAGATATCTCTTGTCCAAGATGGTGGGTCAAAGTGCACACATCATGACTTTTATAGAGTTGCATTCAAAATTCAATTAAACAGCTTTATTATCAATGTATATTAATAAACATAGCATCAAAATGTAGTTTATGATTTAAGTTTTAATACTAGTTTTGATTTCTTAATTTAAAAAGAAAATATTTAAATAAATTATCAATATTCATTTCTACATTTCGCATGAAGCCTCTTAGATTTCAGAATGTCCACTAATTACAAACTATAGATATTCACAGGCCAGACTTTAAAATAAGAACCTCCCAATTCTTCATTCTTTTGAAATTGCTTATTTATTCCTGCTTACTTACCAATGGTACATTTTTATAACCAATAAAAAGACCATTTTGTGAATTAAGTGATATCTTTACATTAATTTATTTTGGTAAAAGACAGCTTTTCAAACCAGATTTTACTGAGATAAAACCAGAGTCAGTGCTCTGGTAAGTAATGAAAGTTTTTAAACCTTTTAATAGGCCAGTTTATAGTAGTTTTGGGACATTCTGTTTTGCTGTTTGAATTATTGTTTATTTTTAAATGCTAAAGGAATTATTTTTTTGGACAACTAACTTAGTGAGAAAAATTTAGGGTTAATGAAACTAGTTTCCAAGAGCAAAATGCCTCAATCCTGAAGTAATTGCTAAATTTCTTTTTTTAATGTATATTTTGTATTTATTGATATATATTTACCAAAAGTAACTAAATTGTAAAAATTAAAAACTTGTGAGGATAGAAAAAAAAATTGTTTTTCGGCCGCAAGTGATGCACAAGGAAAATACACAGTTATATGGTGCACGATGTAATCCGAAATTTTGTTTTCCATAAACTCTCCCTACTCCTTCTTGGTGGTTATTGCTATTTGTGATCATAGACATGGTTCAGAGCAATATAAGGGTACAATTAAATGTAAACAGTTGTAAAGTGTTACAAGCCTGAGGCTGTTTACGATAAATAACTGGAATTTTTGTTACAGCCTGCAGTCATTTTAGTGTGTTTTTATAGCAAAGCCACATCAGGCTATCTGCTGCGTCCACTGAGGGGAACTGAACCTGATTTTAGCATTGTAAATCTGTAGTCTTACCACTGCCCCACTTTTAGAAAGACAAAACGGGTAATTTAGATTTATTTTGTAATTTTTTGGTAGTGGTTACAAGGTCAGTTAAATGGACAGAGCTAATATAGTGTTAGGGCAAAAAAAATATAGAGTTTTACTGATATTTTTTTATGAGGTTCTAGGGGTTATGAGAATGAAATCTACAACTGCAAGATAAAAAAAAAGTATTTTTATTATTAATATGAAAATCACCTTGCACTCAGGCTAGTCAGAGTTTGAATCAAATTGACTGGAGTAAATTCAGAGGCAAACCTTTAGTAGAAATACTTTATTATAAATGCTAATTTTTGGTGTACAACATACTTGTAATATTTACTAAAAAATTACCATATTTTGTGGAGATACACTAAGTAAATTTGGAATAATAATAATAAACATTATTTCCCCAATTGAATGATCCCTTGCATCTAGGGACAATGGCTAAGGGCACCAGGACCATCCAGAAAGAGACTTGCTTTTGCAAAACGTCATATCCCAGTCAGGGTGAGTGAAGTGCTGTCGTGTTTTCCAACAGATAAAAATCCACAAACACAATGGTCAATTGCAAAAGTTACTTCCACAAGATATCTGTCAAACTACTACATACCTTGAGCAGCTGGAGGATAGAACAGGTACTCATGCTATTTCATATGAAGATATACTGGTTAGGTTGGAAGAAGCAGCGCATGATCAAACTATTGAAATGATAGCTGGGAAACCATAGTCCTAATAGATTAGACTGCTTTTGGAAAGCAGAGAGGCATAGTAGTATGCTTTGGACATGACAGTCTTAAAATGGAGCCTTTTGCAATAGTCTATACTGAAGAACTATTGTCAAGATGAGTGATCATCATATAGAGCAAGGTGACAGACTGTAATGAGGTGGTGCAGCTCAAAAATCATTTTAAAAAAACAATTTTTCTATATCAAACCATCTACCATTTTTCCATCATAATTTGTCAAGAAAATGTGAACAGATTTCACAGGCACTAACTTCCTTCTAACAATACTAAAAAATTAACAGAGAGTTAACGTAATTAACTGTAATAAAGTAATCTGAAATACTCTAAGGACAAATATCAGAGAATGTTTGAAACTTTATCAATTTCTAATGCTTTTAGAAGAATAAGTTATTTATGATGCAAAGAGAGGTGCTTAAATTGAACATATACTGTATCTAGCACCATAGATGTAGAAATGTAAAGATAGGCTCAATGAAAAACTATGATCTACTTCTAATTATCATCAATAGAAGTAATTGTATTTTGGGGGTTAGAAATTCTTTTGGACCTTGAAGAACTTGTATCCAGTTTCTATGTGGTTGAGTGTGAGTTGCTTAGGTGTAATGCTGTATTAGGATGTCAATTATAAAAACAAATAACTACATTTTGCTTTACAACCAAGTTTTGTACAAATTCTTGTATTTCTAAATACAATAAACCCCTTTGGTGTAAATTAACTCCCCAATTAAACAACAATTTACTTTAACAAAATAAAGTTTTGTTTTGATATATAGCAGTAATACAGAAAATAATTACTTTTTTAAGAACTTCCATGTTGAACGCCCTCTGGGTCAGCCAAGAAGCCACAACATCCTATAAAATGTAAGAGCTTTATATTTATGTGTGAATATTTTCACAGTAACAAATATGTAATATACACACAATAACAATAAATAACTAAAGATCACTAAGAGAATTCAAATAATTTCTCTCCTGTTTTTGACATACCTCATTCTCTGAAAAATGTTGGAGGTTTTTTTTTTATTCTGCAGATGAAGATATGATTTTATATCCTACACAAAAAGCTGCTTTAGTTTAAATTACTTAGATTACAATTTCTACAACTGATAAGGTTTTATCATCATGTAAATATACAACTTCTAGCTTACATTACAATTTCTACAACTGATAAGGTTTTATCATTCATGTAAATATACAACTTCTAGCTTACATTACAATTTCTACAACTGATAAGGTTTTAT